GTTTTACTGGTTGTTGATTTTGCTAGCATCATCTTTAGCCATCGTAAGTACTTTTTCTTAATCTTCGTATCTCTCAAAGTCAATATTTTAGCGAAATTTAGTATACCTACTCTGGACATCTAAAAATATAGTTTAGCATCTTTCTGAATGTTTGTGCGCAGTTATTCTCGTTAATATGCTTGGCCCATTTGTCCTTTTTGATGTTCTCATCGTTTGGTTTAACATGGTCACTTAATGCTACACTTACTGTTCATATTGTTTAAATGTTCGTGGATGTTCTGTATTTATAGAGCCTGCTGTGCTCTTCTTCGTGATAATATTGTTGTCTAAGTACATTCTTTGTTGTGTTTTTAGGGTAAGTTAGTGAAGCTAATAACAAAATGAAATGTACATCCTGTAGGACTCACTTACTTGAAATGGAAGATGAGAAAAAGAAGATTTTGCGTTAATCATAAGTATAGAGTAATTGGGAAATAGGCTGAAGTGAAACAACATTTTACACCTTAGATAGGACCGTGTAAAATGCCAAGATGTGGCTATCAGAAGAGATATAAGAAGGGGGAGCAATCAAAGTAGATTAGAATGAGGAACGACTACTTTAATCGAATGAGTTTAAGAAGCTGGAAATTTCCGTATCTGTGTTTCTGCAGAGTCTTTGGTGTTCCTTGATTCGTAGGTCAATTTTAATTCTTGTTTCACCAGCATACTTCTGCTTACGGTTGCCCCATTTTATGTGATAAGCTCCCAATCAATCCAGCCTGCATCAACAGACTGGAGAAAAAGGTTATCTTCTCCTTTGTTATCACCCTGATATTCCAGTTTATAATAATGGTCTCAATCGATGGTTCAGTTCTCCAGAGGGCAGGCATATCCACTTTTCGTGGATACCCAAATTTCGAAACCCATATTTCTTACAGCTTTAGAATGATTTCTAAGCTTGTTAAACTAGTTTTCGTAGGAAACATTGTGATAGCTATATGTATATCATTTTCATTTCGTCTGAAAATGTACTATCTATGTCTCATTCATCTGTCTCATTAGCATCCAAATTCTTGAAATTTTTCTAAGCTTTCGTTTTTTATATTGTAGACATGTTCACTGCAAGACAACATTTGGGAATGCATATAGTCTAAAGCTTATTTCAAAATGAGTGGGCAAACTTGGTTCTAAAAAAGCAATACGCCAACTTTTCTGAACACCTAGATCATTTAGAAGTAGAGATCAAGTTTATATCTTCATTTTATATATTTCTTTGTATAATAAAAAAACACTCTAAACTGGTAAACTTATTCGACTGGCTTGACCTCGTTGTCGCAACTTGGTCTTGTTGTCTGAGAGACTTAGTAAAACGCACCTAGTCCGAAGTCGTCTGCCATAATAGTTGCCATGATTCCTAGCATTAGACAGTGGACTTGGTACATTCTCAAACGTTTCAACGTGATACACAAAACCCTGGAAACGAATGAACAAATAGTCCTTCAGGCGAACAAAGGAGGAGCTACAGTGATAATGGATAAAAACAATATACCAAA